AAAAAAAAAAAAAAAAAAAAAAGCCACAGGGAAGAAGGGAGGGGTGGGAACAGCCTTTGCCACATTATCTCTTTGCTCGCACAAAGTACAAGGCATTTGTTTTGGGATAGTACTTCACGTTCTGTTTCTTGTCCATGAGACCACCGAATATGATTAGTTCGCCCCGGCCTTGCACCACTGTGTGAAGGCTGGTCTCGGGTGGCCCCACCACCGAGCTGCTGTTAAACACTTTCCATTTGACTCGTCCTTTCTCCTTGGTGTCTTTAATGTCCAGCACATACATCTGCATGGGTTTGCAGTTCATGCTCTGATACAAAGGCTTGCCAACATTCAGAGACTGTGGAGGATGGTGGCCCAGCCGGCGAGCAATGGGAGGTAAGGAGTGGCCATCCCCCTGGGCAGAGCTGGGACGTGGCGCCGCCTCGGCACTGCTCACGCTCTGGCTGCCAGGGGATCCCGGCGAGGACACTAAAGGAGGGCTCAATGCTGCTGAAGCCGATGCACCTTTGGAAGACAGGGCCTTGACAGCCTCCAGGCTTCTTCGGAGCGCGCCTGGGGAGACTGCCCCTGGGAGGGAGCTAGCAACGTGTGGTGGGGTGTGGATCCCGTTGGTCTGCTCTGGGGGGTTTCTCACGCTTCCGCCAACTGTCCTGTTGTCCGCCCCGTCCATCTGACAGCTAATGGAAGCTGGTTTCTGATCCCAATTCAAATCTACCGATCCTAATCGCAGGTCTTTCTGATCTGGTAGCGATCCTCGTCTCGGGGCGAGGGAAAGTCCCACTTTCAGGTCGTATCCTTCAGCAGCAGAAGGCGTGCTGGGTGATACTGCCTGTACGGGACTGTCCAGTGAGGCACCGCCTGCTGCCGTGGCTCCAGGAGATAAACCGTTCAGTACAGGGGAACTGTCCCCCCTGGCTGGGGACAGACTCCCTTCCCTGGACCCTGACGGGGTTTGTCTTTGTGCTCTGGGCCTCAGGGTGCCCCAGCGCCCATTCACACAGGGAGCTTCATCCGCATTCCTAACCGGAGACTGAGAGCGGTATTCCCGCGTTTCAGGAACCAGGGCTGGTGGCGTGGCACTGATGGGAGAGGGGCGAGAGTTTAAGCTTGGGCTCAGTGGAGCTCTCCCGCTGGGAGCCTGGCTGAAGACCACAACACACTGTCCCACCTGGAAGACATGTGAAGACATGATCACAAACTACTGCATACAAACTCACAACCCCCTCACCTCCTGCTCTGTTAGCCTGTTATTTCTCAGGACACCCAAGCAGGGGTCCAGAGATTCGATTCCATGGAGACAGAGACTTTTCTCTCTTCACTCTGCCACATGATTTCTGACCCCCTTACCCTGCAGGCAGGATGGCACCACAACTCAGGAGCCCCATGGTCTTCGTTTTCCACCTTCAGTGGCTGCCACGTCCAAGGGTTCGTGTGCATGTGCAGTAACCAGGCGTCCTTGAACAGCTGTCAATAAAAGAGCAACATAACTAGAAGTTTAGTCTTGGTGTGCAACTATCTTCCTCGGAGAAAAGCGTCCTTGATACCAATCTCGCTACAGATGGACAGAAATCACAGCCCGGATTGCAGTTCCTGGAGTGACTACCACTCGCACACTATGGGACTTTAAAGACAAATCAAATCTCCAAGCCACGGTGTCTTACCCAACTATAAGTCAGGGATAACTCTAGCAAGGCTTTATTTATGTGGGCACAGCACTCTAAGCGTCATGGATAGAAGGCAGCGGAGAGAGGAGTTGCACTTTATCATTTACTTAGTTGTGGAAGG